TCACACGGGGGCTCGTCAGCATCCACTTCTCCCAGTCGTGGCCTCACCGCTCCTCTCTACGGCGTATGGAAACCCTTCTCTCACACGCAAAAGGGGACATCTCATCACGACTCTTGGTAGCAGGCACTTCTCCGTAGTGGGCACTCCACTCATCGTGTCGTCGTACGGGTTCTCCGCGAGAGGCTGTGGGGCCTGTGCCCAGGCGGGCGAGCAAGCGAGCGAGCGAACGAGCGCGAGCGCGAGCGGGCGAGCGCTGGTCGAGTGGGTCTAAGCGGCCGTGAGGACCTCTCCAGGAGTACCCGACAGAAGTCCTCTCCATTCATTCATCCATCCATCCAGCCAGCCAGCCAGCCAAGCCAGCCAAGCCAAGCCAAGCCAGCAAGCCAAGCCAGGCAGGCAAGCCACCCAGCCAGCCAGCCAGCCATCCATCCATCCATCCATCCATAGAACGGCTCTTCTCCTACGGAGAGTGTATCCTCGACGAAGGTGGAGGCGAAGCGTAGAGTGGTACATCTACCATCGTCTCTCTATCGGCTTAATCCAAGGACTCCCAAGACCCCCGTGTGATTTCAGTCGGCCGCCGGCCGGCTCTGGCCGGCCACTATCCTCGACCACGTGGGCAAGGTCGCCGTGTCACCGCGTTATCCTTCGTCCGTTTTCGGATTCCAAGGAGCAAGACGCAACGACAACACGTCGACTTACGTTGTGTTCTCCGCCGGGACAGTGTCGAGAAGTCCGACGACCGCAGGAGAGCCATCCGAGTCGGCCGCCGGCCGACCGCGGCCTCGATTTTTCCCGGTTACGTGTGACAGTTCGCCGTGCGCCACGTGACATCGCATCCCTTCGTCTCTTAACGTCAATCTCGCGGCTCGAGACCCCTGGTTTCCGGAGAAAGTAATCCAGAAACCAACGACGACGAATGTAAGAAAGAAGATGGATAACACGTTCACCAACAACGTTGACAAATAAAATATATCCGCAGTGAAGAAATTCCAGTTCTTCTTCTTGAATTCACTTTCAAACCCCCAAGTAATCGGAAACTTACTCTCGGTCAATATCTAGTGATAGTGGAGCTTGAAGACGAAGTCAGTGTTTTGCAGATTGAGTACTTCCGGTGAGCTGTCGTGCTTGTGTATAGGAATTGGTTTTCGCGATTGCAAGAGCTATGCGTGCGTTTAAACGTGATCGAGATC